CCCGCCCGGCCTCGCCCGGCCCGGCCGCCGTTACCTGTCCCCCATGGCGGGCGTCCTCCGCCACGACCTCACGCCTGCTCACGGCCGGACCTGACGCACCCAGAGGTCTGGAGCTGAGGGCGGGAGCCTCATGGCGCAGGCCGGCGTCGCCGCCTGGGCCCGAGCTGAGGTGGAAATGCCGGAGGAAGCGGCCGCCGTGAGGGAGGCGGAGCGGCAGCGCAGGAGGAGGCAGCTGCCGCAGCACCGCTCTCCGGCGGGACCCGGCCCTGCAGGCCACGCCCACAGGCACGCTCCCGCCCTCCGGGACCGTTAGGCCGAAGGAGCCGCTTCGCCCCACCGCCGCCAGGCCACGCCTCTCACAGTGCGACTTTTCACTGAGGAGCCTCTTGACCAGCCCAGACCCGCCCGCCACTCACTCCCGACAAGGCCACGCCCCTCACTGCCTACACCAAAACCCCAAGCTTCTTGGACCCGCCCCTGCACCACAGATCACGCCCCCAGACGCGCCCCTCCCCTACATACTACTCCATAACCCTTGGCCACGCCCACCTCTCCCGGCCACGCCCCTCCCAGCCCACGCCAAAAGACAGCTACCGTCCTGGCCCCACCCATGCCCCGCCCCCTGCTGCTAGGCCCCGCCCACTCCGATCCAAACCATACCTAAACAGCCTTCCTCTACACCACCTACTCGGCCCCTCCTACCCCTTTGCTAAAGTTGAGACCTCAAACAAGTGGCAGAGATGTTTGCAGAATGCATGTCTGCAAAAGAAACGCATTTCCTCTGGTAGAGTTGACAGTGCCCAAAAATGGAGAACCAAACATTTCTAAGGCGGGAGAGTCTAGGTTCTCATCTGTAATGCATTGATGGAAAGACTTTCAAATAAGATTGATCACTGTGACCTTTGGCAGGAGGAGAGGGAAACTTTGTGGTTGCTGAACACCAATGTTTTCCGCAGTTATGTTTCATTTTGTTTTTAAGACAGAAGGACATGTGTGATTCACTTTGCTGGAGGAAAGGGCCAGCAGCAAAGTAAATGTATGAGGATACGTGTTACATCCTTGGACATGTTAATTTGGCCCACTTATTTGGGCCAAATTATCTTCCACCGTGGGTAGGCTGAGTCTCTCTCCATCATTACTGGAAACAGAAATCAGTAGTGAAAACACTCAACCATTTTGTGTTTTTAGGCTGATACTGGGGTTTGAATTCAGGCCCTGAGCAATGACACTTAGCTTTTTTGGCTCAAATCTGGGGCTCTATCACTTGAGCCACACCTCCACTTCTGGATTTTGGGTGGCTAATTGGAGATAAGAGTCACAGCCTTGGGGCTGGGAAGGTGGCTCAGTGGTAGAGCACTTGCCTTGCATGCTCAAGGCCCTGGGTTCGATTCCTCAGCACCACATAAGCAAAAAAAAAAAAAAAAGCTGAAAGTGGCGCTGTGGCTCAAGTGGTAGAGTGCTAGCCTTGAGCTGAAGAGCTGAGAGACAGCACCCAGGCCCAGAGTTCAGGCCCCACAACCGGACCCCAAAAAAAAAAAAAGAGTCACAGACTTTCCTGCCCAAGTTGGCTTTGAACCATGATCCTCAGATCTCAACCTCCTGAGTAGGCATGAGCCACTAGCACCCAGCATCACCAGACAGCTTTAACTAAAGTCCTGTAATTGGAAAGTGTGTGTGTGGTTTGGTAAGACTTTAGTGAATAGTAGCCCCTTCCTTCAGCTTCTTACAGGTACAAATAAAACACATGGCATAAAACAAGAGCAAAAAAAAAGCACATGTATTAAAGACATTCAAGGAGTTGGAGGTGTAGCTCAGTTGGTAGAACTCTAGGCAATGAACGAGAGCATCAGGTACTGAGTTCCAGTCCTGATCTCCACACACAAAAAAGTAAAGGAATTCAAATTTTACCAATAAAGTTGTATGTGTTATATTTTAAATATTCTGAAGAGAATTCAATGTGAGAACCCTGAAAAATAGCATTCATTAAATGAAAACTTCTCCCTTCTCTCCCCCACCAGAAGTGGTATTACTCAGACCTTAGCATGAGTAACTAATACACAGGATGCTCAAGCACTTCCATCTGTCTTTACTGTAGTTAAAAGGAAAGTGATGTAAGTATCATGCTTGTCTTTTCCTACTTGGAGGAAGTGAGCATCTTCAAATACAGAAGAGTATAGGAAGTAGAAATGTGGTACAAAGGGTAGAGTGCCATCCTTGAGCAAAAAAGCCAACCAAGAGTAAAAGGCTCTAAATTCAAATGATACCACCATCATAATAATAATGAGGACAGGATCATTTAGCATAAAGATCAGGCCAGAGATTAGTCTATTAGGACAAGTGCTTATTTCTGTGATTAGAGAAGTCTATACAAGCAAATACATTAGAATATGAACAAACAGAAAAACAATAAGCACTTGTTAACAAGTGACTTTTCTGTCTGGGCTTAGTATGCTGCTCAGTTAGAAAGATCTGGAAAGCCAGCTCCTGCAAGAGTCTAGCCACACAGATTCCAAGACAAATCCTTTGATTAAAAGGATGAAGGGAAATAGATGTGGTAGGGATTGTGTATAATCCCAGCACTCAGCAGAGGAGGCTGAGGCAGGAGGAGAGTAGAAGGCTAAATTGGGCTACATTGTAAGACATGTCAAAACTGAAAAAAAAAAAAAAATCCTAGCTACTCAGGAGGCTGAGATCTGGGGACCAGTCGTAATTCCAGGCCAGCTTGAACAGGAAAGTCCATGAGACTCTTGTCTTCAATTAACCACCAAAGAAACCGGAAGTGGACCTGTGGCTCAAGCAGTAGAGTGCTAGCCTTGTGCAAAAAAGCTCAGGGACAGCATCCAGGACCTAAGTTCAAGACTCAGGACCTGCACACAAAAAAGAAAAAAATGAGATTTAGCAGCCCTTAGTTCTACAGGCTTTCCTTGGAAGCCAAACAGGATGTAATGACAATGGATCCCAGGGAGGGACTGAGGACTTAGGTCACAAAGGAGTGACCCCCACCACAAGGACACAGGAGGGAAGCAGACACAGCCAGAGGATTCTAGCCTCGAGTGCAATGCAGTTCAGGAACTCCAAGGAAAAGTCAAAGCTAAGATTTGGGAATCATTCGTGTATTCAGACAATGTTGATAATATTTGCTTTGTTTTTGTGCCAGTGCTGTACTTAGGGCCTGGTCACTGTCCCTGAGCTTTTTTGTTCCAAACCTAATGCTTTACCACTTGAGCCACAGATCTACTTCCGACATTTGGGAGACTTATTGGACATAGGGTCTCACGGATTTTCCTGCCCAAGCTGGCTTTGAACCAAGATCCCCAGATCACAGTCTTCTGAGTAGCTAGGATTATAGGAATAAGCCACTTGCACCCAACTTGCAAATGTCTTTTATTAAAGAAAACAAAAACAGCCAGGTGTTGGTGATTCTGGCTTGTCATTCTAGCTACTCAGGATGCTGAGGAAAGTCAATGTGACTCATGTCCAATTAACCATTAAAAAGTCAGAAGTTGAGGTATAGCTCAAGTGGCAGAGGTCCAGCCTTAAAAGAAAAAGCTCAGGTAGAGTGCTCTGAGTTCAAGGCCTAGTATCTGCACCAAAAAGTAAAAAAAAAATGGAACACTAATTGTTCTAGTTCATTCTCCTTGTCTAGCCTCACATCATCACCACAACCTGTGCTTGCTCAAGTTAAGATGACACTCATATCAGAATCCTTCCCACCACAAATCTGTACATGGAATATCAAATTATCCACCCACTATAAATCTCTATTCAGAATGCTCTCGATGTCAAACTAGTCAAGATATTCTTCATACTGCTAGATATTTTTATATGTATAACAATGGGATTTTACTTTGTTCTACCAAGGTTTGAACTCAGGGCCTACCACTTGCTCAGCTTGCTTGGTCCCAACTAGCACTCTATCTCTTAAACCATGCCTCCACCCTGGCTTTTACAGTAGTTAATTGGAGATGGAATCTTGAGGATTTTTCTACTCAGTCTGGCTTTAAACTGCAATCTTCCAGGTCTCAGCATCCTGAATAGCTAAACTTACAGACATGAGTACCAACACTCGACTTGTTTTTTCAGTTTGTTTTTGTTTTGTTTGGGTTTTGTTTTGTTTGCTTTTGGCAGTATCGGGATTTGAACTCAGTGCTTCCCGTTTAATAAGAAAGCTCTCTTAAAGATAATAAAAATATTCAAAAAAATTATAAAGCTATTCAAAAAAATTATAAAGCTCTCTGCTGCTTAAGACACACTCCCAGCCTTTTTTTTTTTTTCTTTATTTTTCGTACTTTTGCTCAGCACCTGTCTGGGCATCTCCCAACTAATAATTCCTGAGTAGCTGGGATTAAAGGCATGTGTTACAACACCTGATCCCACAGTTTTTGTTTTTAAATGTGACTTATACAAATTCTTAAAGGAGAAGCATTTCATTTGCATTGACATTCCTTCAAGACAGCTGGTATGTGTAGAAGAGGTTGTGGGCACAATCACATGTGCGCCCTGGCCTACGCAGAAGGCAATCATCATTCTTTGTAAGTCTTTAAGACTCACCCATAGAACCAATTGCAGTTATTGTTAGAAGCTGACCATAGGATTTCTCTGAAATCACATCCAGTGGAATGGGATAAAACCCCTACATAGTCCCACAAGTCCCTGCCCTCACAGAAGCTGGGCAGATTCAATCAGCTCACACAGATCAGTGTATCTGTCTCTGTGCTTTTCTCTTTTCTCTCTCTAATCTCAGGGTCGCAGAGCCCTCTACTGAAGAGAGAAGGAAGATTTGAGACTCCCCCCCCCAATGTTGAAATTTATCCAACAGCCACGTTCAGTCTGCCAAGAGTCATCTGAGGGACCTAACCTCTCTTCTCTTTGTGCTCAGGCACATGCAATCTGTGAACATTTATTTTTAGTCTCCTGCATCATGCCTGGGAAATGATGTCATGTTTCTGAATTAGCATCCCTGCCTTTTCTCCACATCCCAAGAGAGCACTGGGAATTCCCTAGAGGCCTGGATGGGGTAAGGTGGGGGGAGGTAATCATCAGAAAATAGGATGCCCAGGGAAAAGGAACGGGTGGGGGGATGTTGTTCAAAAAGAAATGTACTCATTACCTGACTTATCTAACCCCTCTGTATATCTCCTTTATAACAATCATTTAAAAAAAAATAAGATGTAAGAGAAAATAGGATCTTCAGATTTGATATCCAGCTCTTCATACTACTATTCATTTACTTGGTTACTTGAAGCGACAGAGTCTATGTTATTCCAAAACTGCTTTGCCAAAAACAGAATTACCCAATGTGGCCCTTGGAGGTTGTCAATTGAACAATAGAAGGGAGCCTTTGTTTTAGAAAGGAACATGGTGGGCTCATGCCTGTAATTTTAGCCACTCAGAGACTGAGATACAAAGATCTCAGTTTGAAACCAGCCAAGGAAGGAAAGTCCCTGAGACTCTTTTCTCCAATCAATCACCAAAAAACAAACACTGGAAGTCATAAAGCACAAGCCTTGAGCAGAAAAAGCTAAGGAGCAGTGACTCAGGCCTGGTGCAGAAGGTGACACATTCTGAGCTGTCATAGACACAATAGGCAGTATTGACCCCACATGTGCTTTCTGAATTCCTCTTCCATGTATGATGTTCTTTGGCAAAAATATCCATTTTTTGCTAAATTTTTATAGGAGATAGCTGGCTACAGCAGTAGTATGTTAAAATCAGTTTAATGAATGCTAACAATTATGGATCATAATATAATAATGGAGTATTAAGCGGACAATAATAGAATCTCAGCCCAAAGTAAAAGATGGGAAATGTGTGAGAAGCCTAAAAACAGTCTAAGCCTCAAAAACAGTCTGTCATAAAACTGATAAACTGAGCTGAATGTCAGTGGCTCATGTCTGTAATCCTAGCTACTCAGGAGCTTGAGATCTGAAGACAGAGGTTCAAAGCCAACCCAAACAGGAAAGTTCATTTGTCTCTTATTTCCAGTTAACTAGCCAAAAGCTGGAAGTAGAACTGTGGCTGAAGTAGTAAGGTGTTAACCATGAGTGAAAAAGCTAAGTGACAGCATCCAGGTCCTGAGTTCAAGCCAGCACAAAAACATCATAAAAACAAACCAATCCTTTAGAAATTTCATATCAAGTTCTAATGGAAAAGTAACTTCTGGCTAATGACAAAAATTCCTCAAAAAAGTACAAAGCTTGTTTTTTCTTCAGTGTTTCAAGTTTGGAAAGCAAACTTTGGAAAAGCTTTGCATCTGTTGATACTGTTAGGTTATAAGTCACAATGCCTTTTCTGGGCTCTGTGGCAGTAAAATTCTGAGTTTTTGACCACAGTGTTTGAATATATCAGTCAAACCTAATGAATATTGTTATATAGTTAAGGAAAAAAGAATGCATAGACATTTACGTAGTAATAATACACTCATTGCATTAATCAGCACGCTTATAAAATAAGCAAATATTTTAATAAAATAACTACATTTAAGAAAAGGAGAAAACATTATCTTTTATCATTGCAATTTATGAAGAAAATGTAGGTCTATCTCTCTCTTCTACCTCTCTCTCCCTTCCTCTCTCCTACTTCTCTGCTCTTTCTTCCCCTCTTTCCCCACTCTTCCCTGTCTCTTCCTCCCTTCCTCTCTCCCACTTCTTTTCTCCCTCCTTCCCTCACTTTCCTCTCTCTCTCCTTGTCTTCTGCCCCTTTCCCAAGAACTTCCCAATAATTCCAAATACTCCATTATACATCTATCCTATATCATAAGACCAGTGAGAGTTACTAATGTATATATTTTACAAAAGAGAAAACACAATATTGTCAGAGTTCAATTTGCTCTATATCAGAATAGCACATCAGAATGAGAAAAGCCAAATGAGCTGGACAGCTATGAAGGAATTATTTCCAAGCCTGGCCTTGAATTCTTGCATATTTAATTCCATTTCAAACATAAATATCACTCTATAGAGTTCATTCACTTGTACTTCTAGGGAGCTTCCTTTTGTTTTAATCTATTATATTTCAACTGAGGAAAAATTCCAACCTCAACACCTCACTACCAATAATCATTTAATACATTCACTCACTCACCTGCTCTCCTCAGTGTCCATTCTCACTTCAGGAACAGTTGTCCTTGGAAACCATGAAAGTATTGTTCTGCCTTCTGGTATTTTCTTTAAATGGGTACCCCAAGTTCAACTCTTCCTGGCTGGGAAAAGCCTGTTTTCTCCCCAGCATCCATTCATCATCTGAGTTGAGCAAACATCCTTGGGTTTTGTGTCTTTGTGACACTCTGATCCAATAATGACCCACAAATGTTCTTAAGGTGAAAGAGTATTGGTTGGCAAAGAGCTCTTCCCCGCAGCAAAAGTAACTCAGTTCTATATGAAGTTCTGCTTGTTGGTGTTGGTGTCAAGAAAGATGGTGGAGGGGTCCCCGGATCTCACCCAAGCAGGTGAGATCATAGCCCTTCTCCTCGTTCAGCAGATGTGGGCATCTTGGCCTCACTTCAGGGATCCTGAGGGAAAAACAAAGGAATGAAAAAGAAAGGAATAAAGCAAGTACTCGAAGCCATTGCACTGGAGATTCGATTCCTCATGGAAGACAGCCATAGTTGTGAGCTCCAGAGACCTTCTAATTATAAATGACACGATTCATGGCAGCTGTAGCAACTGGAGTAACTTTTATCCCTCTCCTCCCAACAAGATACCAAACAGCAAACATACGGGCCGTCTCTAGAAATGAAATCGTATCTGCTTATCAACTAAGCTCCTGTTCTATTTCCTGGCTTCCTCCAAGTGGAAATACATGCTTCCCCTCATATACAATACACCATTCTTCAGGAATAGCAGCCTTAAAATCCAAACATATGGACATTAGACGTGCTGTTGGAAAGAGAAATAACTCCCTTAGGAGACTAAATGTGTCCATCAAAAAGGCTTTACTTAAATAAGCATTGATGTTCCAAAACAGCCTGGGGATTTAAGAAATAAAGAAGACAAGGGTGAAGGGTTTTTATAATAAAGATAAGCCAGAAAAACACATGAGACAATTTGCCGTCCTTTCATGCAAAGGTCATGGCACCAAAATATTTGAAATTGCCAAAGTGCCCTCTTAGACATGGCCATATTTAATGATTATTTGAAGTAGACAGAATGACAGAAATAGAACTGCTTATAAATTAAAGACTTTGGAAAGCAAGTGACTTTGTTTAGACTCAAACTAAGAGGAGGTGATAGCAGGAAATAATCTATTTTCCTACCCAATATCTTTACTTACTTACTTGTTTTCTTCAGGGCAGGGGATCAAACTCAGGGATTTGGGCAGGCTAGGTAAGCACTCTACCACTAAGCTATATCCCACCTGTCCAATAATCCTTCACTGTGGACAAAAGTAATATAGAGATAATAATCAAAGCAGCTGAAATGATTCATTGATCATTATAGATTCTATGATATAATTAAATAATATTGTGTAATATTATTGTTTAATACTAAATATTAAACAATAATACTAAATAATACTTAATGTTAAATAAAATTTAATAATTAATATTATTACTATTGTTATTAAATAATAGGAATAGTCTCTAATAATAATATTAAATATTGAACAAGTGTTAAATGATGTTTAATAATATTATTAAATAATATAAATAATTCTCTAGGGTAGATGATTCAAAATTCACAACACTTCTCTGAAGACACCCTCCCAGAAGCTTACTAGAAAAATTAGTAGTATTAATTTGGTTGATAATGGAGTTTGAACTCAAGGTCGTGTACTTGCTAGGCAGGCATTCTACCCCTTGAACCATGCTCCAACTCTGACAATTGAAAATTGTATTAGTTATTTTAATGGAAACTAATTGAAACAAATCAATCAAAATTTGCTTTCTTAAATTATATTAAGTGAAGTAAGCCAAGCCCAAAGAAACATAGGTCCCATGGTTTCCCTTATTTGCAATATCTAGTATATGTATGAGTCAAGCAGAAAAGGTCAGATAATGTGATGTTAGGAAGATGAACCCTTAGATATGTATTTAAAGGTATTTTTCTTTCATGCATTTGTTTCTAATGCATTTATAAGATTATTTCTTTGTTACTTTGTATGTCCCTCCCCCACAGTATAACCCCTGCTTTCACTATATTTGAAGTCGGTATAATTTGTGGAGGAGATGGGGAAAAACAAGTCATTTAAGGATATGGGTGGACCCGTTGGAACAATGAAAAGTACAAGTTGTCATGTCGAAAACGAACTTTACAACTTTGGTGTGGGGGCGGGCGCGGAGGGGGGGGGAATTGGGTGGGGGGAGGGGGGGGGGGAGGCTGGGAAGGGATGTGAAGGGTAAACAAAGGAGGAGGCTGCAATGCTTGATAAGAAATGTACTCATTATCTTGCCCATGTAATTGTAACCCCTCTGTAGAGTATGTTCACAAATAAAAAAAAAAAAATCAATAAAAAATTTTTTTAAAAATTTGCTTTCTTTTCAATAAATCTAACATATCAAGAGCTAGAAAAAGTCTATATTTAAATTTAGAAATTAGACATTAAAATTAAACCAAGAGATTATACTCACAAGCAAACGGGAGCTTTTTATGTGTGAATAGTTGTAAAATTGTACTCATCCATTTAATGGATTAGAATAGGTCAAGTTTTATGAACTAGAGAAGTAGAATCAATGTATTCATAAAATAAAGAGGTTGGGATGAGTGTTTTAAGTTATTAACCTGTCTAAAATTCTGTAATTCTAAACCAGCATATTTCATTTAAAACCCATCAATAATTATGAGAACAGAAATTTATCCAAATATATCATTTGTTGAATGGTTGCTTTGTGCATCCTAAGCACATATACTGAGACATTGAGATCAAACTGTCTTTTAAATCAAAAAGTGTTTGTTGATTAAAATGACATTTTAAATTCAACCATAAAATATGAATGGATGGTAAAATAGACAGGTTCTGTGGTGTGTGTGTATTTGTGTGTGTGTGTGTGTGTGTGTACATGTGTGTGCCTGGGCACGGTCACTGTCGCCTCACTTCTCTGCTCAAGGTTGTGCTCTAGCATTTGAGCCACACTACCATTGCTTCTGGCTTATCTGGATAATTAGCATAAGAATCTCATAGAATTTTCTTCCAAGGCTGTAGTTCTCAAATTGCAGCCTCTTAAGTAGCTAGGATTATAAGCCACAGCCACTGGTGCTACTTCATATTTTTCTTTAAAATGACTCTGCCATGGTTTGAATGATAGTTTGTTCCCGCTAACACCCAAGATAGAGTTCAGTTCTCACTGCAACTTATTCCAAGGATGGAGTTAAGAGTCAGGATCCATGGGAAGTGATTGGGGTTGAGTAAAGTCATCAGAGTAGGCTCCATGCTTCAATTCTGGTGGTTTAAGGAATAAGAGACCCCAGAGGATATATGCGCCCCTCCCTGTCTCTTGCCACCAGAGGCCCCATGCCACCTCCAGACTGCCAGAAAGGAAAGCCAGCATTAGATATGACCCCTAAACTTAGGACCAGAACTGTGAGCCAAAAGAAAATTCTTTTCAAAATAATCGATCTAGTCTGTGGTATTGTTTTATTCGTGACAGAAAATGGGCTGAGGCTCTCTGCTACAAGTGTATCATGAAAGGAAATTTTCCATCACAACCATAAACAGAAACCCAGTACCGTGTGCCACAAATAGAAGATATTGCTAAAGATAACTAAAATGAACGCAAAAGGAATTTGAGTTCTGACTGGGTTCAAGTGTCCACTGAAAGCAGACTTTGCCCTGCCATTTCCTTCTTAAAGATAGGGATCGGCAAATTTATGGGGAAATTTATCGTCTTTAATGATTTCATTCAGAAAGAAACATGGATGGAGATTGATTTAAGCAACTTAGAGAAAAGTTTACAGGATAAATCCAAAGAAAATAAAGACAAGAGAATAATGAGTGAAATGGAAAACAAAAGACTACTGAAATTGGCACATTTCGGGAACACCAACCATGACAAACCAAACACAGAAAATAAATCTTGGAAATAAAAATGAGATACATCAGATTGAAAAGTTTTTAAAAGTTAAAAAGATGTAGAGGAAATGAATGTGAGCATTTGAAAATGAGCAAATTCATGTTAAATATGAAGCTCATTAAAGAATAAGTCAACCCAGATGCGAGCAAGTGGCTCACATCTGCAATTCTAACTACTCAGGAGGCTGAGATCTGAGGATCCCAGTTCAAAGCCAGCCCACATAGAAAAGTCCATGAGATTCTAGTTCTAATTAGCCAGAAAAAGTAGACTAAAAGTGTAACTCAAGTGGTCAAGTGCCAGCTGAGAGTAAAAAGGCTAAACAAGAGCTGGAGGCCCTGAGTTCAAACCCCTGGATGAGAGAGAGAGAGAGAGAGAGAAGGAGGAAGAGGAGGAGGAGGAGGAGGAGGAGGAGGAGGGGTGTCACTCAATGATAAAGTGCTTCAAGCTTCAATAGCAAGCATAAGGCATCAAGAGCAAAAGAAGAAAAAGACCAAAAAATTAGAAATAGAATAATTTCAGTCATTTATATTTGAAATCTCCCCATGGAAAAACCATAAGAATAGATGGTTTTACTTCTGCGTTCTATACAAAAAATTTTTAAAACAAACAGCTCTAGAATCATACAAATTCTACCCAGCAACATAAAAACAGATAATAGATCCAATAATTTCACAAGGCTGATAACATATCCAGATCAGATTGGGACAGTTTGGAAAAGGACAGTGACTGGCCAATCTAACACGGAAGGAAAAAATTGTGTGTATGTGTGTATGTGAGTATGAGTCTATACAAGGTATAACAGAGATAATGCCTTATTACCAATCAATTTATTATAGGATAAAACTCAATAACCATTCATGACAAAAAAACAAAAAAGGAAAAATATAACTAGAGTATTCTTAGTAAACAAGCAAGTGGGAATTTCCTTTAACGGCAAATTAAAGGTCAAATCTATTCAGGCATGGTGGTACATACTTGTAATCTTGGCTACTCAAGAGGCATAGGTAGGAAAATTGGGACCAAATGCAGCCCCAGGAAATAAAATAGGACAAAGAAACAGAAAGGGAAGAAGGGAAGGAGAAATCCCTAGTTCTT